CTGGAAATCAGATACCATAGCCAATAATGTTAGACCCACGACTGATCCTAATACTAGCGAACGTCTATATAAATGGGTACTACACGGCGCGAGAATCTGCAAGAACGCTTCAAAGTCAGGTTGTTGTTGATATTGTCCCTCCGTACGTGCGCATATGTCACGATCAAATATTCCAATCAAAGGAGTTTCTTATTTAATCCTTAGTTCAGTCAGAAGAATAAAAACTTGGCTGGTAACTACGCCAGTTTCATAATTACCAATATGAAGAGAGATCACGCGTGTCTTAAATCTGCACGCCCACACACTCTCTATTCTAGCCATTACTGTCTAAAATAAGCAAATGAAAATTATAAATGATGTACATCTTCTTGAGTATAACATAAAATAAGAAGGTCATAGTAATTCAAGATAAATGTTGATATGTGTTATCATATTATTGACTTATTAGGTTTCCTAAAGTAATTGATACAAGAATAGGATAGCAAAAAAAAAACAAGAGTAAATATCCCATGAACAAAGTCATAGCTTCGTCCTCAGTTTGATATGAAGTACAAAAAAGAATTTGGCTGGTGTACACCGGTTTCATAATTACCAATATGAAGAGAGATCACGAGCGCCTTAAATATGCACGCCCACACACTCTCTATTCTAGTCAACCATTCAATCAGGTTAAGCAAACAGACACCACGATGACCGCAACTCACGTGGTATACTTAAACTGCCAAACTTATTTTCTGTCGCTTGCAAAGACCAAGGCAGATACCCTTGTAAGGGTATTCGCACCGACAACAGTTTTTCATCCCCTCTCCCTTCGCGTTCCTCTCCCGCTCGTTTTTTGTCTGAATCTTGGTCTCGTTCCGCACTACTCTGCGCGCTCTCCTCTCTCCGAGTCTTTCTTCCCAACTTCATCCCCATACAAGAACTCCCTACCGATCCACACCCCCCGGGTATTCGAGCCGTCAGGCCACATCGTGTAAGGAGGATACTCCCCTCACGTCGTAATTTGATTGGTTGCGAAAGACTCGCGACGATCGATATGGCTTTCCCTGGGCGATTGCCCCAAACTCTCTCTTCACCCCTTCCTACCTCCGCCCCATTCCCTCTCATCTTCTATCTCCCTCTTCGCAATTATAAAACCTGCAAGCGTGTTCGATAAACTCTCTCTCTCAACCCATCTGCCAACTTCAGAGAAGTTGTGGCTAGGTGATGTGCAAGTAGTGAGTTGGAAAGTCCTGACAAACTGACTGCAGTGTATGCAAGGTCGTGCGCCAGGTGGGTGCGACGAACTGTGGGATCTGGGCAAGTTGGTGCAAAAGCTGAGTTGGCGGGGTGACGATCGTTTCGATATGGAGGTTGGTATGTGGCGGCCTGGATCGCTAGTAGTTGAGTAAGAAAGGTGTGTGTGTGTGTACGAGTGGTTGCATGACCAGAGACCATTATCAGAGAGCAGAGGGCCGGTTCACTTTGATTTTCAGTTCTTCTTCTTTTGTTTTTTGAAAGGTGAGTCCACGACGAATAGCCGGTTGTTGTCACCCTTAAGCTTGTTTGTATGATCAAAGCTCTCTCTCTCTCTCTCCCTTCTCAATCCCCTTCTTCAGTCAAGCTACTCTCTCTCTCTCGTTCCTTTGCTTCTGTCTACCTAATGGATGCTCGAATGATTTGATGCTTCCCCGTTCTCGCTCGTCCCTGTTGAATTCAATTGAATCTCGCACGAACGAGCATCGTTGAATTTAAGGGACTTGTAAACCCGGGTGACCTTACTGTTTTTTTTTCTTGTTGACGTGTCCCTTGACAACTGAGGATTCGTGTATATGAGATTTATCATATATATGCATCAATTGGGCTAACTAAGCTAAGATTCTACTGAGATTATTGAAATGTATGCTCACCCGTCGCTCTATGAATGATGATTCTCGTCTTGATTGGATCGAACTCACATTTTTTTGATCGGTTCGCCTGAAGGATGAAAGGCAACAGAGCACGTAGCGTTGCGACTGTTTACTTCTTTGATTGAATAACTGGTTGAGTGGACTTTCGTGATCAGTTTTGCTTATGCCATGTGGACCAATTGTCCCGATCCGACTAGGTGTCGACTTCCCATATCCTCATCACGATCGTTCTCGTACAACGAGAAAAAGAGAGATATGCGTGGGACATGTGAGAAGCCGTCGCCAAGATCGACGAGCGCTATTATTTTCCTCCCGAAACAAGGTGTTCTGGGTTCTTAGGCGCCGATTTTGTCATTATCGATACCCACTTTCCCCTATACTCTTTATTATTGCCTTTTAACAAACTGATTGTCATCCTGTGCGCGACAGTAGCGCCTCATGGCCCAACACTCAGTGTAGCGATTATCACCGCACCGAGCGTTATCGGGAAAAAGGGTTCCGCTACCAAACACGTGATGAAGACAAATACAAGGAAAGAGCAACCCGACTAAGGCCATCCACGTTGAATTCCAAACTCTGTAACGAGCGGCAACAAGATTTGATTCGAAAATGAGATCCAAAGTGTGTACCCCGCTTTTTTCGTCCGAAAAGCCGACAAGTAGCCCACATGGAGGTTCAAATATATTTTTTAGATTAGGCGAACGTTTGAAAGTGGCGTGCACCATTTCTTTCCCGCGCGGCTATGGTCCTTTCTCACTAAAACTGGAATCACACGGGGGGCTTTGGTTCCATATGTGGCCCCACACTCAATATTCCCAAAAATCCTTGGCACACCCCATTTTGCTGTTCTTTCAAGGCCTATTCCGCACAAGTTATCACTCCGACCGAAAGACAAAATAGAGCGTGAGGTTAGAACGTCACACCCCGCTCTTTCGACAAGAGAAAGAGAAGAAAAAAAAGTCACTTAGCAGCGACCATACATAATAATAACCAAGAGGCAATTGTCCATTGACACTAAAGAGAAAAAAAAAAAGTCACTTAGCAGCGACCATACATAATAATAACCAAGAGGCAATTGTCCATTGACACTTCGCAGGGACCATACATAACTAGATGGTAACCAAGAGGCAACACTACACTATGAAAAGCCAATGGGCCATCACACTAGCCACACAACCTTTTCACACATATATCATCAAACGGCATACTTTTTTTTTTGTTTTCCCCTTATTAAATAACATGTTAAGCTGTTAACTCAATAAGAAAACTTTGTTAGTCAGTAGTATATGGATGCATAGTATTGCATACCGATCTTCCATCCAAGAGCGCATGACGACAATCACATATTGCAGATGTCTGTGGCGTCTATTCTAGTTGCTGTACTCGACACGAATTCGTGCACTAGTCCACAAACATAGACTAAGTGCATGACCTTTCAATGGGATCACTCAGAAAAATCAAACTGGCCATTTTCCTAGCCACCGTACTTGACGCATCCTGTCTCTTTCAATGATTATGTTTCTTGGGTGCCTAATAAATTAGACTAAAAGACAAAGGAGCTAAGAGTATTTATGAGTGCTCGAAAGCATCATTACCATTTAGTTAATTGAAGTCCATGGGCACATTTTTGGTTCACCAGGAGCTTTGGAAAGTACCATCAATGGTGTAATGTTACATACGATAGTGCACATGTGTATATGTAAATACAATAGTCTATACGTGTATATGTGGATGCCTGGTCCATGGTATATGTTAGATACAGTAGTGCACACGTGTACGTGTAGATATCTATGTTAATATTGGTGGTGGTGTTACTTAGATACCTAGTCTATAGACTCTAGACACATATGTTGGAGAATATGTTAGCGTAATCAACATCGCTTAATAGTTTATGGATGCATACTAGTAGTATACTGATCTTCTATCGGAGATCGCATGGCAACAATCACACATTCACTGATGCCTGTGTTGTCAGTTGTAGTTGTTGAACCTAGCACAAATCCATCCATGCAGGTCCACATAGATAGTGCATGCCCTTTCAGCAAATCAGAGAGAGGCAAATCAAGTTCCTATTATCTACAGCAATTGCAATGCAATTGTTGCTGTGGAATCCCAGGTTGTCTTCGTAGTTTCATCTTTCGTTAAACGACCAGTACACCGTCACCTGGAGGCCCTGCACTGCGCACCAAGCTTTCCTGAACCGCTAGCGGCACACTTCTTTTCTTTTCCTGCTGCCGCCGCCAGCCGTTTTGTGGTCCGGTAGGCCCGAGCCTCCACAATTTCCTTCAGGCGATGACAGATTTTCCCACAAGGCTGGGGCCAGGTAGTGGTGCGCACATTTAACATGTAGCAAGGAATGCACGGACATGATTGTTAGTCGATCAATGATGCTCAATGGTGTTGATTGAAAGAATGGTCATAAATGCAAACATTTTGGGCCTCTCTCAGTAGGCATCTGAACTTGAAAGTAGACCAGATACAATTCTACTGATCGAACATTTCGAATATATCTCTAACATGTCCACATAAATTTAGTATGTTGTGTAGCGGAGCGAGACCCCATGTGGGATGTTGTACCGAAGTGCAGTAAACTTGGCTTTCTATTAAAGAATGTCCCCACACCATGAAATTGTGACACACACACACACACACACACACACACACACACACACACACACACACACACACACACACACAAACAAACAAACAAACAAACAAAAACAAACAAAAAACAAACAAAAAACAAACAAACAGTCTTTGTAAACACAAGTTGCCGGAGAAGACCAACTGATTGCAATGGGCATTGCTAGGGGTTTCAAAGAACGACAACGGCCAGAACGCATGCATGCATATAGATGCAGATGACCATCATCAATAGTTCCCTGAAAGTCCAGCTTTGAAGAATTCCTGCCTGCATGAGCAGCGTATAGCACGGAATAACGATCATACCAGAACACTGCTATAACCCTGAGCAATACTATACACTACTATAACCCTGAACACTGCTATAACCTTTCCCAACTCCATACGAGTGAACACAGTGATATCGTGAAATTGTGACACAAAGAAATAACAATATTTGTAAACAAAAATCGCCAGAGAAGACCCATTGATTGCAATGGGCATTGATAGGGGTTTCAGAGAATGACAATAGCCAGAATGCATGCATGCATATAGATGCAGATGGCCATCATCAATAGTTCCCTGAAAGTCCAGCTTTGATGAATTCTTGACCTGTATGGGCAGCGAATAGCACAACATACGTATCAAATGCGAAGACGATTATATGTACCTATAGCCTTTTTCAACTCCGTACGAGTGAATGTAATAACGGTCACTAAGTCTTTCCAGATGCAAAGAGAAGGGAAATATATTCTCTCTCGGTGTTTTGTTCACAACCTGCCTTTCTCACTTTTCTAAGTTTTCCTAAAATGTTACCTTGCAAGACAGGAATAAATGCTTGGCGAAAAAAAGGAAACCACTGAACGAGTTGTTTGGCGGCGCCCAATATCAGAAGAACCAATATTTCCATAACGGTCCGGCTTCGCTCTTACCAGACGTAAGGTCGACAAACACTGACAAGGAAAGTGGTTGGTGTTCTGCAAGTGGCTGGCTGATTAAGGGCATGGTATACTCACACTACGGCGTTTTCACTTATTTATGAACGTAATTGCGTTCAGATACAGACAGGTCCAGCCATTAATGCGTTCAGATGCATTTACGATAGAGCAGGTGTGAGTACGTGCTGAGACAGTTGACGATCACCGTCACGATTGCATGATGGGACAGGTCACAGACGTCAATTGCAATGAGCAAGCACCATGCTACCCATAACCTTGCTCGAACCTTGGCGTGCAGAGAAACAGTTATTGAATGCACAAGTAGTACTGCCTAGTACAACGGCAAATCGTTGACCTGCTAGCTGCTAATCTGGAAGTCAACCTCCAATCAGCTACCGACTGGCATCGAAAGACCTTCCACATGGGTAGATGTCTCCAAAATTCGACGACAAAATGAGCCACAGGGCAGCAAATGCAAGCTAGTGGAGTTCTCACAGCTCTGCATAACCTCCCCTCCCCTGTGTGTCAAACCGACTCAAACGCCATTTGACATTTTGAATCCTATTCGTGGAAAGGTTGGAAAACTTGAAATTTGAGAAACGGGTACAGTCGAGCCTGAGTCCACGTTGAGGAACATGGTCGGAGACCTTGCATCTGCGGCGAGCACCACTGTGCTGTCTCCAGCGTGCATCCGCAAGTGGTCGTCCCAACAACACAGATCACCAGCTCTGCAAATCAGGGAGACTTGGAGCGAAGAATACAGTTGGTCAAACAGATCGTCTGTGACTTGCACAATACGAGTGCAACCAAAGAGACTTGGAGGCAATTGGTCAAACAGATCGTTCGTGACTTGCACAATACAAAAGATCCATCGCTGTCCCCGTCCCTGAACACGTGATGCCTTCTCAACTGAATGAACATTCCGAGTGGTTAGATAATCGAGTCGCAATCTGTCTGTTTCTCCGGGGACGACTTTGCCACTGGGTCTGCAACCCATGGAGCACAGAGCCAAAACGATTGACCTTAACCGAAGCCAAAATTGCTTGCCGATCCAAACCGACAAACAAACAAAGAAGAGCATGGTTCAAACCATCCTTCATTCCTGTTAACCCTAACCAAAGTCAAAATTCCTTGCCGATCCAAACCGACAAACAAACAAAGAAGAGCATGGTTCAAACCATCCTTCATTACTGTTGACCCTAACCAAAGTCAAAATTGCTTGGCGATCCAAATCGACAAACAAACAAAGAAGAGCATGGTTCAAACCATCTTTCATTCCTCTTTTTTGTCATCACCTTCCCTCCCCTGTTCTCTCTCTGCACCTTGCCAGCAAAGCCGTGTGAAGATTCGTTGCTCGTGCTGCGGTTCGCCAACCACCAGATCACAAGATCCAGTTGTTGCAAGCACACACATGTAACCCAGGCTCCATGGTTGGAACTTGCAAGCAGACATGTCCCCAGGCTCCATGGTTAAAAGCAGACACGTCACCCAGGCTCGTTGATCACAAACAGACATGTCACCCAGGCTCTGTGGTGATGAGCACACACACGTCACCTCTGCTTGCTCCAGTGGCTGCAAGCAGACTTGTTACACACACTCCTTGCCATCTCTGCACCATATATACATGCATGTGAACAATTTTTTTTCGATTTTTCTTTTCGTGTCATCCTTGTGCAGGGGCCATGGTAATCTCCTTTCTCTGTATCGTTCCAATTTTAGCCGATGTTCCGAAGGACTATGAGCATGTGAAAATGCATGTGGGGAGGGCTCGCGCAATTCCGACAATTAAGTACCTCCTCGTTGTCATATTGCCGACTCCTTGTTAACGTCAAACAACTTGAGCATAATGGGGTCCACCGTTTGCAAGATGAGAGGGCCTGCCTGACCCCTCACGACAAGTCCTTTTGCATCCGGCACGCTGGCTGTGCGTGCCCGGGAGTGATCATACAAGAAAAATACTGCAACCACCCTGGGTATGCCTCCTTCCTTCCCTCCCTCGTCACTGCGACCACCTCAAAGACGAGTCCATATGGATCTCCATGGTGGTTATGCCTGCCATCTCGATGGCAGTGATCGGCTCTGCAAAACACAGCGTAGCATTTACACTACCGTCTTCCCCCCAACGCAACGGGCCCTGATTGTGGCTGTACTGAACCGGAAAGATAGCTTGTATACATTCATTTTCAGGGTGCGTTATCTTCAGGGGAAGACGGTAGTCTCTCCCTTATCGTGATCGAACCATAGCGCAAGCAAACTCGGATGCGTTGTCAAAGAGGCAAGACAGTTAGTCAAGTTGTGTGAGCCACTGCTGGTCAACCAATGGTTGACTTCATACAGATGGCTACCTGCGATTAAATCACCAGTTCACACGAGCGTACGTTGACGTAGCGACCTTCCAACGCTTGCGAGCCTTCAACTGTTTTTCTTCATAGTGGCCTTCCCCATTCACTACCAGCCTAGGGCTGAAGCGTCTTGGCCCTACCGCGTAAACCCGTAAAAGCCCGACTTAGCTTCCGGTGAACTGGTGTTTTAATTAGGAAAATCCAGCAGACACATACAAAAAGTTGTACTAGAGTCCTGATGTTTTCCAAGTGGCAGTTACCAGGAGCACAAGTGAGCTGTAGTGTGAGACGAGTGCTGGTAGAACTGGTACCCACCCACTCTAACTTCTCACCAAGATGGGCGCTCCCCTCTGCATACGTCGGATATCATCTAGGTCTGATGGTGCTTCACGCCACATCGGGTCCTCTGACATTATGAAGCTCTTTATTGTCTCTGGAAGGTCATCAAAGCTGTCAAGCCGCCAGCCGACAAGATGCATCACTGCCAGTTCGGCAAACGGTGGTGTGGAACCAATCCTGACCATCGAGCAGTGACTGCCGCCATCCTCGTTACCTGGCCCATCCAACTTGTCCATGAAGTAGTCATAGTTCTCATATGCCATGTAGTTTCCTGGGAAGCAACAGGCATACCAGGCATCCCATTCAGATATGAACATACTCGTACATTCAACGCACAAACACACACTCACAAAACCACGCTTGTGCATGCATATGCAGAGACACACTCGCATACAGCCACAGCCGCACCACAGTTCAATTGAACACACAAACACACACGCTCGCCAAACAGGGCTTGGGCACACACACACACACACACACACACACACACACACACACACACACACACACACACCAGTCACAGGCATGTCAGACATCCAAGGCACCCAGGCACGCACACAATTTTTTTCTTTCTTCATTTGGTCACACAGACACATAGACAACGACATGTTTGCACACACATCTCCACACACACACACACACACACACACAAACACACACACATACAGAGACATGCACTCACACACACACGCATACATGTACACATAGAGAAGGCAACACAAGAAAATAGATGACGAGGTCAGTCAAATGCATCCTGGGCAGGCTTCCCTAGTTCAACCTCCTGATGAGTTGGTGAAGGTCCGACAAAACGGTGAGGCACAGTCATGCTTTCTTAGTGTAGTAGTGCATAGCGAACATGACAACACAGACACTCACACACACACACAACCACACAAACGTGGGGAACAACACATTTTCTATTATATTGCCCGTTTATACTTCTTTTGTTTCATGGATGATTTGTGATGGCTTGTAGATGGAATGAGAGAGAGAGTTCTTGACAACACACACTCACACACACACTCACACACACACTCACACACACACTCACACACACTCACACACACACTCACACACACACACACACACTCACACACACACACACTCACACACTCACACACACACTCACACTCACACACAGGCATGCACATATAGAGACGTCAACACAAGGAAATAGACGAAGAGGTGGATGAGTTTCAAGTTACACAGCTGCATTTCTCAGACGTCATTATGTGTGATGACCATTGTAGATCTCAGTGTGAGGCAGTGTTTTGTGCGATGTCACTGCCTTTCTGATGAGTTCTTGCTGAGATTCCCATGTCTGAAGTGTTTGGGCTTGCCCACAAGTGAATGTATGTCTTCTACTAAGTACTGAGGTTGTTGAATGTGCCCAAGTGCCAACTGTTTGGCCATGCTGTTCTTCTTCTTCTTCTTCTTCTTCTCTCTTTTTTTTTCTTTCTTCTGCAAAGCCGGTCACGGCCTGCTAGGAGGGGTGATAGGAGCGGCCCCTACTACCTGACTTCCCCGGTTGGTCCTGTCTATTGGTGGGGAGCTTCACCTGCTGGAAACTGGGTCCAGCGTCCCAAAGTATTACAATACATCAGCAGCATCATGTCACATCAGCCATCCCCCCCCCCCCCCACCTTGCTTGCTTGCAAAAGCTTGTGATGATCTGGCCTACGTCCCCCCGTGCGTGGACAAAGCTCATGTTTTGCTTGGCAATCTGCCAGTGGTTGGAGATCTCGGCTTGGACCAGTTGCTTAACCAATTCCGCCACCTCTCCATCCTCCAACTGTGCCCCTTCCAACTCCAACACACACCTCCACCACCAATCACCCAGAGAACAGATCGCCTGCCGAGTCGAAACAGGTTTTCTATTAGGGGGTCATCCTGGCAGTGCGGCCAAATGCCCCATCATCACCGCTCTCCAGTTCCATGGCCACACCGGGTCTGGTACGGTCTGCCGTCATATCCTGTCCCACCACCTCCACAACAGCACAGACAACAGACACTGCAGAAAGACATGTTCAATCGTCTCTATCCTTTTTTGAGGCGGGTGCTTCTGCAGACACCTCCGGCACCATGGTGTCACCCACCCCTGCTGCTCCAGCCTGGTGTGGTCAATCAGCCAACCGTTGGTTGGCAGATAGCAATGGGCAATTTGCCACTGGAGGGATGAGACCTTTGCTGGCCTTAGTCTCACCTCCCGAAACCACTTGATGGGCCGGAGGAGGAGCCGATCTACATTTAGGTGGCGCTGCCATCTGTCCTCCACTCTGTCCCAGAGCTCCCTCCTGGGTCCTCCACCCTGTCCCGAAGCTCCCTCCTGGGTCTCAACATTCTGTACGCCTTCTTGGCCTTCATGTGGACAAGTGCCAATGACTGCTGCCTAACCCCTACCCTCCCCCTCCCCAGATACCGCCACTCTGTAGGATCCAAGGCCAGCTCTGTTATTGGCGTCATCGGTCGGAAGGCCCTCCAGCCATCTTTGACCTCCAGCCATCGGTAGACGGCAGACCTGTCCATCCAAACAAACGGTTGACTTCTCCCTATTAGGTGGTCCTCCCTACCCAAACAATAGCTTTCAACGAGGACCTCATTACGACCCACCAGGTGCACCAATCTGACCCTGCCCTGTCCCCTGGAATTCCTACTAGTTCCCTTCCTTCAACGTCGAACACATTCTGAGGATGGTGTACCATTCCAGCGGGGGCCTCTCAGTCATTTCCCCTTGAGCCTCTTAACCACCACCTCATTCTTTCTGTACTCTTCCAATCCCGGGTTTCCTCATCCCACAAGTCCCCAACTCGTAGCACCCCATGCTTGACCCACCCTCTCCAAGGGGAGTCCGAGCTACACCTGATCCGACCGTGCGGGTCTATGATCCATCTGTTACCGAAAAGGGGCTGCCTGAAGACCACCTCCCATCGGTCCGGGGATGGCTTATCAGGGATCGAGAGCCCCCTCTAGGTCTTTAGAAGGCGGGTCGAAAAGTCATCCACAGACCCCCCGCTCCTATATGCCTTAGGTATTCTCCAATAATTGTCCTCGAGCCAGATCAAAGGGTCTACCTCCGGAGGGGCTTCGGGGCAAGGGCCGCGATCTGTGCTAATGCCAACGGGCGCCATTGGGACTTTGTATTGAAGACTAGTAGCATGATCCAGCGCACGCTTAAGGCCTGGACCTGCGTGGCCGGGTCTATAATCCCCAACCCTCCCTTGGCCTTGGGTTGGATTGCCGATTCCCACGCCACCCAGCTGATCGCATGGGGGGATTCACTGTTCCCTCTCCATAGAAAGGCCACTATTTGCCTCCTAAAGGCTTCGAGTTCCATATTACTTAGCGGTCATAGCACTGACTTGTACCATAAAGATGCTAGCACCACATTGTTAATGACCACGACCCTGCCGAAGATCGAGGTGTGCCGCCCGTTCCAAGTGGCCAGCTTGGCTCTAGCTGGGCTCGCCACCCAGTCATCATTGGTTGCCGGTTTACCCTTTCCTGATAAAGAAGCACCAAGAACTCTCAACGGGGCCTCCGCGGGTAACCATGTGATACGTGGTCTCTCCGACGGCCTCCCACCCTGGTGGTGCAACCACCAACCCACCGTTTTCTGTCCCCAATTAACCGCCATGTCCGATAGTCGGAAGGAACGGTCCATCAAGGCTTGCACCGCCTCCACATTTTGTGCACTTGCCTCCATCATAATCAGTAGATCATCAACGAAGAAAGAACATACTGGAATCGCCTCCTCGGGGATCCCTGCTATCCCAATCCTCCCAATGTCCTCGTGACTCCGCAGGTTGGCCGATAGGCCTCCGTTATGATTAGGAAGAGGTAAGGAGTGATCGGGTCCCCTTGCCTGACCAACCGCTGAAGCGGAAAATGGGGGGCCACAGTGCCATTGACTTGTATACATGTGGTCGAGTTCCTGCGAAGGATACTTACCCGTCGTCGAAAAGCCGGACCGAAGTTCATCTTTTACATGCATTTGTCCAGGAACTGCCAATCCACGTGGTCATAAGCCTTTTCAAAGTCAATGAATATGATAGTTGCATTCTATTTGTGTCATCAAGACAGGTTAACTATTTCATTGACGAGAAGGATGCTTTCTTGAATGTTCCACTTGCGCATGAAGCCGGTCTGGGCTGGGTGAATGATATCCTCAAAGACCCCGACCATACGATTGGCCAGGGCCTTTGCCAACATCTTATAGACGGCCGTGAGAACGGTGATGGGTCTGTAGTTTCTAAGGTTCATCTTGTCTCCCTTCTTATAAAGGAGTGCCATAACCCCTTGTCCAACCACTTCCCCCATCCTCCCCTCCTCCCATACCTTCTGGTAATATGCCCACACGTCGGAGCTCGGGATAGGCCACATGGACTCCCATAATTCCTTGGGAAACCCGTCAATGCTTGGGGTCTTCCCTTCATCCATTTGGAGCAATGCTGTCCATATTTATTGCTTTGTCAAAGGAGCATCCAGACTCTCCTTTTGTTGTGTGGACAAGACCCTCTCCATGGGCTTGAGAAAGTCGTCCAGATCCCTCCTCCTTGCCTCGCCTTGTGGGTCTGATACCTAAGTCGTATAGCTTCTGAAAGAAGGTCCTAGTGACCAGGGTGCAGTGTGTCGTGGAAGTGGCCAGACTGTCATCCCCTCTATCCAAATCGTCGAGAGCTTCAATAACAGTTTGCCCCGTTTGTATCGAGGCCATGCTGAAGAATCTTGTGTCCATGGTGGCTTCATGGTTAAGGTGGGGTAGTTTGCTATGCATTCTTAATCCTTGTCATCTTTGTTGTGTGAACTGCAGTAATTCTTGTCTCAGCGGTTGGATGTTCTCTCCCCGAGCTTGTGAATCTACTTGCTGCTCCGAATCACGGACCTCTCTATGGATCTCTAGCTCTTGTCGATTCCTCTGTGCCGCTCGTTCTTTCGAGAACTCCTTGCATTTCCTTGCGAGGTAATATAGCCCATTGTTGAACCATGCCAACTCTAAATCAAAGCGCAACTTTTGCTACTTCCAAACCCCCCATGTGTCTTTACGGGGCAGCAAGGAAGATCACAGAAAAACAAAGGAAAGCAGCGATCCTGTTTTTCGACTTTGAAAAGGCTTACGATCAGGTCAATTGGGACTTCCTCCATGCTTGCATGGAAAAAATGGGGGTAGGGCCTAACTTCAGGGAGTGGGTTAGAGTCCTATACTCCGACGCAACCGGTAGAGTGCAGGTCGATAGAATCCTATCAGATACCTACCCTAAGATCCGTACGACA